CAGGGAAGTGGTTGAGTCCCCATCCCTGGAAGTATTTAAAAGACATGTAGATGAGGCGCTTAGGGACATGGTTTAGTGGGCATGGTGGTGTTGGGTTGACGGTTGGACTCAATGATCTTAGAGGTCTTTTCCAACCTTAATGATTCTATGATTCTATGATTCTAAGAGCGTACTGAAGATTTTTCTTTCTGTGAACTGAGGTTGTCAAGGAAGCTTGGACTTGACAAGTTTTTTGGTTTGAAACATAAGTACCAACTTGCAAGGAATAACTCAAAAATCCTGTGAAGAGACAAATCATGTCCAACTGATGTCTGTTAATAGTTGAACAGAATGATATGTTCATTTAGGCCTCCATCCAATAAAGCATTTAACCACATGCATAATTCTATGCACACAGGTGTGGTTGTCCAGACTGTCCTTTGAGGAGGGCTTGCCCAGCCAGCTGCCCACACCACCAAAATTGCATCCTTTTCAGCAGGGAGGTTGTGGCGTGGGAGTACATGAGACCCTGCATGCTGCCTGGGAGGCTGCTAAACATACAGAAAATGGATGCTGGCTTGCACGTTAAAGACATGGCCACTGATGATGCAAGCTGAAAACTAAATGTTCTTGTACAAGGTCTGCTGAATCACTGCTACAATGTATAACTTGAAATACCTTCACAGAAAGAGGTATGCAAAGCAGCATCCTAGGAATCCTGCCTTTTGGGGCCTTTGTTATTATTTTTTACATTTGCCTGACATTGAATATGTGTTGTTTTCTAACAGCATTTAAAATAATTAGGAAAAGGTGTTTGTTCTCCCAGCTTGTCACCTGCAAACCATGGCTGGAGAAAGATAAGAACGTGCTCAGCTCTCTTTCCTTTCAGCACAATAGCTGCACTGAAAGCACGCTGGTGAAATGATTGTCCTATTTCATTCTGGCTACTGACAGAATTAGGATGACCTTCTATGCTTTACAAGCATTAAATTTTCTTTTTTTCATGGTATTGATTTAGTCTCCATTTGCCCTAGAAAGTCCTTCAACTATAGTTGGAACTTGGCTTGAATACTCACAGCAAGTTCTGGAGGCTGCTGCAACCCTGGGAACCAAAAAACTTGCCGTGTTGACAGGTACTGTTTTTCCTGTCGGAGACTTAAGGGCTGAGGGCCTCAAAGGAACTGAAGACCTACACACCCCCTCAGGTGTCCAACATCAGCATTGTGATGACTTGTCTCCCTTGACCAGGCAAAGAACAGCTTATTTGGCAGCACTGAGTAGCAGGAGCCCTGCTTTGCTCAGCTGTCCTTTCCTTAAACTGCCATACATTAAAGAAAAAAAAAGCAGTAATATTATTCCAGTTAGTGGTCTGATTAGAGTGGCTGGCCCATGTCACACAGGTTGAACAGGGAGATAACTGTGCTCTCCCTAATCCTGCGGAGTTAGTGGTTTAGCCACGGAAGCTTGTTCTCTCAAAAATAAATGTTTTTCTATTAAAAAACCAGCACACTTAGGCCAGAAAGCCAACAGCACAGCATTTATGCAATCTGCACAGGACCTCTTGTGTTAACTGAAATAGGCACAAAAATTATCTGTCTTATAGTGGAGCTTTTAAAAACACTTGAAGACAAGCAGTGACTGCAACAAAGTTTATTTTCCAAATGTGTTTCAACTGGCTTGCTAATTATATAGCTCCTTGTGCAGTCATGTAGGGTAGATATCATTCCATTAACTGTGCAAGTTAAATGAAGGGAAGTAAACGATGGTAATCGTAATACTACAAAAGTTTTGATAAGGGTGTTGCTAGGAAAGAACAACGTTGACAAAAGACAGCAACAGAATCTTCTTAGTTATATGCAACAAGATAGATTGGACATGATCTCCTTCTATGACCAGGTGACCCGCCTAGTGGATGAGGAAAGGGCTGTGGATGTGGTCTACCTGGACTTCAGTAAGGCCTTTGACACCGTCTCCCACAGCATTCTCCTCGAGAAGCTGGCGGCTCACGGCTTAGACAGGTG